AATTTAATTTTTATTTTTTTTAAAGATTTTATTTGAGAGAGAGAGAGCGTGAGAGAGAGAGGGAGAGATCACGAGCAGTGGGGAGGGGCAGAGGGAGAAGCAGGCTCCTCGCTGAGCAGGGAGCCCCATGTGGGACTCAAACCCAGGTCCCTGGGATCATGACCTGAGCTGAAGGCAGACGCTTAACCAACGGATCCACCTAGGTGCCCCCACCAAGTCACCATTTTAATAGCAGCTTTGAGTAAGCAGCTGGGGAGGTAGGGAACAGAGCTTCTAGACCAAAGGCCGGGGAGCAGCATCACCCCCATTGGCCGATTTTAGCACCAGAGTCCTCTGCCAGAAGCCATCTGCAGCTGCACGGGTGGGCAGGCACAGAGTGGGGTGGGGGAGTGCAAGGACATGGTTGTCCCCAGTGGGATCCAGAGTAACAATCAAAAGGGAAGCTCCTCAGTTACCCATCTCTATGTGGACAAGACAGATGGGGGAAGGCTCTCTGACTCTAAGCAGAGTGCAGAGCTGTTCTGATGGAGTGTTAGGTGGGGAACTTAACAACTCCTGACACGCTGTGCTAAGGACAAGATTAGCTCCATTTCCCTTAATATCAGCACAGCCACCACATCACTCCTGGAAAGTTCTGTGGTTAATTTTGAAGGAATTACTTTAGCAGATTTTGAAAATGGATGCAATTATGACAGAAATCCATAAATATTGAACTACCCTCCAGTTACCAATACAAAATAAGAGAGAAGAGTAGAGGCAGACAAGCTAGGCAAGTCTTAAGATGCTTATGCTTTTAATTGCACTTCTAGAACTTTTGGATGGGCCTGGCCATCTGGGCCAGTTGTCTTTGGAATTTCAGAAGCTTAGAGAAGTAGAGAAGTGCCCATCACTCAGGTAACTGAGGGCAGGAGCTCACTGAAGATCTCTGAGGACCTCTTATTAATCTCGCTCTCTTGATGGGCAGTGTAGCCTAGTGGTTCAGAGTTCTAGATTCAATTCCTGCTTCCAGGGTTAGGAGCTATGATGTCAGGGGTGAGTTTCTTAACCTTGCCTCACTTATCTACAAAACAGGGACAAATGAGGCAACAAGTGATCGGGCAAATAGTACAGTATCTGGCATGTGGAAATTGTGGCCCGATTTCTTCCCAGTTACTGACGTAACCAATACCTGTGAATAGTCCCAAGGGTCAGTGTAAGTCTCTAGCCGGGTTGTGGGTCGAAGTCTCAGATTATGGAATGTGCTCTGATAGCCACAGAATCTTGGAGTCACATAGATACATAATAATATGGAGCAAGTGAATAAATATTTGCTGGCTTTCTACCTTGAACCTGCTATTTTATGCTAGTGGCTCCATACGTTATTATCTCCATTACAGAACTGGAAGCTAGGAAGTGGCTCAGAGATTTGAGTAACTTGCCTGAGGTTGCCCAGCACTGCATGACCCAGGCAGGATTCCCACTTAAATGGTCAGCCTTCAAAATCGGCACCCTTCCTACTTCGGTGGGACTCTCCACAAAGTCAGCACCGCAGCAGCAATGCACACGCCTCCCAGTTCCTGGCCAGACAGTTCCGCTCTTCTAAACTGCGGGGCCCCTCTTCGCTATCTGATTCCCAAAGGCCCACACCAGTGCCCACCTTGACTGTCTGTGACTACTGGGCCAGGATCAGCCAAGCCGAACGAATGGCCAGGGCAAGAGTGCAGTCTGCTTGTGCGTCCCACCTTCATCAGGATAGCGAGACTTCCCTGTGAACCTAGGCGACAGCCAGGGTCACAGACGGCGGCAGGAGTTGCCAGAGACCACTGACTCACCCTCTGGTGCAGCAGGGTCCTCCCTGCATTTGTTCTGTAGCAAAGCCCATGTGTTACCACGAATGGGACCCTGATCCTTCATCCCAGCTGTCAGTGTGGAAAAAATACCAGGTGAGCTTTGGCCTTTGCTTCTGAACACAAGCCTGCAGTTCAACCTCACCTCTCCAAAAAAAGAAAAAAACAACCCCCCCCAAAAAAACAAACCCAAAAGATTAAAGTTGACAAAAGAGGCCAACGGGATCTTAATTAATTTGCAAATCATTCTTTTCTCCTTTGCCTCTGTTTTTCCGTGCTGATCCTTACCATTGAGGGAAAATCTGAAATGGTCATTTGCCAACATGTCACAGCTCAGACTAGTTTAAGCTCTGAAGGAGAAAAGAAAAAAAATCCCAGGACTTGCTTACTCTCTCAGCAAAAGTGTGGTTACTCTGTTGGCCCTGAGTTAACCCCTTCTTGCCTCCTCTACACCCTGGAAATCAGAGAGACAGAAAGATAAGGCCACCATGGAAAACTCAAGTGCTTCCAAGCATGGTTGACCCTACCATGGTCCATGAGTGTGGGTGGAACAGGTAAGCATACCTTTGTTCTCTCTTGTCAGTTTGTCGGCCATGTCCCAGTGTTCGTAGCCCCGTAACACGTTGCTGGTGATGTTGACATGGCTGGCGGCCATGTGGTGAATGCGCTGGGGGATGGTGACCGGGCCGTTGTTACAGCTGCCCATTGCATTGATGGGAGAGACGTTGTTGAGAGACACCGGGGATGGAGTGTTCCTGGGGGAAGGGGAAGAGACAGGCCTGGTGAGGCTGGCTGCAAAGAGTGACTGTGGCCTTCTAGGCCTCCCTCCCCATGCGGAGGCCTCACAAGAACGTCACTGCCGCATGAGGTTTAGCGTGGTGAGCATATATGAAGCCCAGGTGTGGAGAAGCTTGTTCTCAGAAGACATCTTGTAGTTTCTGCCAACACCTTAGTTTTCTCTAGAGGCCCCAGAGTAGGAAGAGCCTATTGATTATCATCGCATTCTGGCCTTGTCTGACCAACCCACACAGGGCTACAGGGCCAGGCTCTAGAATGAGCCATGCTTCTCCTTTTCTAACTCAGTTGAACACTGATGTCTCCCTGCCTCTGACAACCCCTGGTGACTCCATCCACACTGCTTCTTTCGTTTTAAGATAGCAGAGAGAGCTGGGTGAATCTTTCTCTGGCATTCATCCTATCCACACATGTAGCTCTTATTTTGAATATATATAACCAGTGTTGTGAGGTTTCAGAGGAAGACACATCTCAGAGCTGTGCTGACTTCTCTACCTGCTGCCAGATGGCTAGTGCCAGCTAGGAAAGGCTATTATCAAAGTGTTTTGTGGAAACCGCAATGACAATTTGCTCCAAATACAGTCACCACAATAAACAAAGTGCAATTCTTGAAAGCCCCCCAAGGAGCAGTATTAGGGAAGCCAGAAAAAGTAAGATTCTGAATAATCTTTGAGATTCTCAAAGACATGCTACAGAGATGGCTGTTAATTGCTGACCCTTCACCTGCGTGCTGTTTACGAAGAGAAGTCTTTGCAGGTCCTATTTGGGCAGAACCAAGGTCTGGATATAGATTGTGGTTCAATACTTTAATGTCAGCAACAAGGAGTCCCCTGCAATCTGCACATATCAGGGAGGGCCTGGGTGCTTCCTGTGCACGTGAGCAAGGCCTATGCACCCCCTCAGCCTTCCTATCCTCCTTCAACGAGACTTCGAAAGACTGTCCAGTGGTGCCCCAGCGTGCCACGTTGTTACGATAGAACATTTTGGGGGAGTAGAAGAAATGGAGAAAGCTGTGTTTGGGGCTCCTCCTCGTTCCTCCAAATACACCCAGCAGATCATCAAGGCAGCCTGTCACTCCCCCTCGCTGTTCCCAGCCGTGGCTGCTGGTAACTCTAGATTTCCAGGTTGGCTGTGTTCCTCAGAGCCGATCGGTGCTCACAGAGCGGATGTGCACCCCAATGGGCATGTGAACACAAGATCTGGGGCAATGGCTGGAGTATTGCTAACTCAATTTGGGAGCGACTCAAATCGATACACTTGCCTCGAGACTCATGTGGGGTGTGCCAGGCCCTGTGAGAGCTTTGGTCCATTTCTGGAAACAGAGTATATCTTCTGGTATGTTCTAGTATGAGGGGCAAAGGGGATCCTCACACTTGCTCTGCATTTGTCTGTGAGAGGGTGTGAAAGTTTTCCTGTTCTGTTTATAATTTCTAAGACCTTTTGAAACTTCTTGATGGAAAGATTTATTCTCAAGGCAGGGGTGGAGTGGGGCGATGTCCAAGCTAAGGAGCCTAAGCACGGAAGGGTTAACTAAAGACCAAAAAAAAAAAAAAAAAAAAAGCCACCCCAAAACACACACACACACACACACAAAACAGGCAGTGAATGCTGGATTTCTTTGTTGTGGTTGCTTGCAAATGCTATTTTCTTTTCTCCGAGTAGTGGTCATTAACTCTTAGATGCCAACTTAAGGCAAGAAAAGAGTATGTCCTCATTTGTAATGGCTAGAGAAAAATCCCAAAGCTGTCAGGTGTCTCAAATGTTGAAAGGGGAACCATGCTGTGCTGGGAACAGAGTATGTACTGGAATCCCAGGAGACCTGTATTCTAACCCTGGCCCTGCCCTAAATGGCTGTGTGCTCCTGGGCATGTCCCTTCCCCTTGCTGAGCCTTTCCTTGACTCAAAGAAAAGGTTGGATTCAGTGATTTCTGATCATGTCCAGAAGTCACAAGGGGAAACACATCACCTCTATTTACTTTGTACATCTTGAAAAGGCCTTTTTAGCTTATGACATCCACGTGCTAACTGAAGGGCTATCTTTGTCTCTTACTGCCTACTTTCTTGGAAACGATAACAATCAGTAGTGGAGGCAAGGGGAATTAGGGCATGGGTTTGCTTTTGGTCATGGCGGATCTTACACGAGGCTCTAGGAGTGACCTCCCGATGAGCGTTATCTGCAGGCCGCATTGTACTGATGAAAGAATTCCAACCTGCCTAAGGAAGGCTGTGACTCTGGGTACAAGGGCGTGATGCTGCGCACTCATCTCGGGGGGCCTCCCACTCCCACCTGGCTCTCCACACAGCTTGAGGTTCCTTGTCCCATTTTCTTTCTGTGGGTGTACTTGTAGATCTTGTTCTTCTCTTACACCTTCATGGCACACGCAAATGAGGGTACACACACAGGCACCCACTTCCCACCACTTTCACCATTAGCACACTGGTCCAATCCACATCTCAGCCACACTCGCCCCCTTGCTGTTTGTCAGACTCATTAGGCACAGCCCACTTCGGAAGGTGGTTGCTGTCCCTCTGCTTGGAATGCATCCCCCCCAGGTATTTACATGGACTGCTCTCCACCATCTTTCTCTAACGTCCCAATTCAAGATAGGTGTCCTGCTCCCCACGTGATCCCTAGCCAAGCTTTCTATCCCCCTTCCTGGTTTCCATTTGTTCTATGACCTTTGCCACCATTTAGCAAACCACATAGTTTTTACTTTTTCTTTCCAACAGAATGTGACCTCAAGGAGGGTAGGGATTTCTGTCTATGTCTATACCCAGTGTCTAGACCAGTGCCTGGCGCACATCCTATGTACTTAATGAATGTTAAATAAATGAATGAACTGTCTTCCACCATCCCTTTGTCACTGCTTAGTATCCACTACATAGAGAGGCTCTGGAGAGGGTAGGAGAATAACATATAGCACAAGATGATGGGGGTGTGTCTATCAAGTGCCTGGCAGAGTGTCTCATCATCCATAGTACACACTCAGTAAATAGGTGGCAAATGAAAGAATGAATGGCCCCTTATTGGGAAGAGCAAATGGTCTAGTAGGGGAGCAGACCCATGAGTTTCTGACAAGCTAGAATAAGTGCCCAAGGCGAAGTATACACCAAGAGCTCTAGGAGTTCTAGGGGTGGGACAGTGTATGCTTTCCAGCTCAAATGGTAAAGTTACCATGTGCCAAGCATGGTGTTCAGATATTACCTCTAAGCCTCGGAAAAAGTTTGCCAATCCCTGCTCAGTACTAAGCAGATTGTTCTTCTCCTTCTTCCAACTGCTTCTTTGTAAATTTTCTCCTCCAGGCCTCATGGTCAGGGGTTGCTGCTTCTGGAAGATGCCCTTCCAGGCCCTGTGTGGTGCCAGCCACCCTCGTGTGCTGGGGAAAGTAGGCTATGGCCTTGCTTGCATAGAAGACGCCCTCCCTGACCATCCAGGGAGGCCCAAGCTCCTCTTCTCTTGGGCTTCCAAAGAACTTCATTCCCATCTGTCACCTCCCTCCACTGGACTATGTGCTTCTGGAGCGCAGGGATCCCACTGGAGTCAGCTGCGCCCCCAGCCCCTTGTATGGAAATGTGCGTGAGGTGTTCGCTGAATGAAAGGGAGGTAACCCGGGGGTGACCATTTGGAGTTGCTTCATTCACAACCTCTCTGGCCTACCAAAGGGAGTGTGCTTTCTTCACACAGAAGCTGCCTAAAACATCCTTTCAGGAGGCTTTTAGTGTGACTTCACAAGCTTAGGATGTGTTCGAGTTCTTTCGTTTCAGAATTAAAAGAAATTTCCCAGAAATCCTTTAATAGCTGCTTACCTGAACTTGCCCTTGCTCTACTCTGTGCTCAGAGAAAATAGCTTTCTCTGGGCCTTTCAATGGTTATTTTTATTTTCTCAACTTCCAGAGAGAAGCATTCTTTTGCTTTTGTTTGTCAATATAAAAGTAAGACTTAACAATTTAAACGGTACTTCCTTTCAATACAGTAATTGAGTTAATGCAGAGTTTTTAATGGGTCTGTTCCCTCACTCTGAATGTTTTTATGATCTCAATGTAGAGTTCATGTCCCACTGCTTTGGGAGTATGCTTTGTAGATATTTATAAAATGGCAAGAGGAGACTAGAATACGCTGGAAGAAAGTGTATGGACCAGAGACACAAGAATTTTAAAATGATGAAAAATGGAAAAAGCAGCTCTTTGCCAAAGTCTGGGTCTGTAGTCATGGAGTTTCCCTTCCCACTGGTGGTGGCAAGTGGGCCTGGGGTGGTGAGGGAGGGACTGGAATCAGACGGAACACTGATGCTCAAGCACGGAAGGGCAGGCACGGAGCCAATTTGCGCCACAGACAGACCTGGGCTTCCAAATCTCCCTCTTAGCAGGAACATCTCTCACCCGGGGCCTTGGGCCTCGGATGCCAAGGGGTCCAGCCCTTTCCTTTTAGAGCTGGAGAAACATGCCCAGTGCGGGGGAGGGGCCCCCGAGCCCCGCCCCCACCCCAGCCCCGTCCCTCCTGGAGTTCCCCTGGCAGCTAGGGACAGCCTCAGGACCAGGTGGATGCTCTTCCAACTATGGGCAGTGGAGGGAGTGGGGGAGTCCACTGAGCCTTAGATCAGCAGTAGATCAGCAGTAGAGTGGATGCTTTTATGTATTTTAGGTCAGGGTGTTTTAGTATTCATATAAAAATCACCATGAAGGCTCATGAAGGCTAAGTGCCTTCACATTCTCAATACTATTATGCCTTTGGTTTTATTAAATGGCACTTACTATGTATCAATGAATATTTCATTGGCCTTTCATTACCGAGTGAATCATTGAAAAATCACTGCCATCTCATTAACAGATACTTTTATGGCCATCATTTGGCTTAAAGATCAAATAGTTAAAGAAACTGGGAATCGCATCATGTTAAACTTTTCTGTCTTGCCATTAGCTGAAATCTGACCAGAATTTCCTGTGCACAAAAATTACTCTAGTCTCAGAATTGGCCTTCACTCCTGAGTTGTCAATACAAAATATTTGGGGTCTCTTAATTCGCTGAGTTTCTGAAAAAGCAATTTTCATAAGATACTTACTTTCCATTGCCTACCCAGGGAGATGGTATCTGAGCGACTTTTGAAGCGTTTTGCTAAAAAAGAGAGAGAGAGGGAAATAAGGACATCTATTTTGTGTTTTATTAATTCAGAAACAGATGGAAGTGTGATTTCGAGTACATTAATATTGATTGCAGCATTTCGGGATGCCTCCTGTTCTGTTAGCAGAGCTGGGATGTAAGTGCACGTCAGCACACCATGACACACACTCGATGAAAATAGCTGGGTAGGATAATTAGCGGGCTCCAATCAGGACCATGCAAGTCACTTGATGAAAGATCTTATATACTAAAAGGCCCAGTAAAATCAGACTCAGTTCTCCAAGAAGTGGCTTAATTATCCTCATCTGAAATTTATTCTGCAAAACAAGCTCTTCAGAGTACTGGCAAGCTTTTCACCTTTAGCTCCCACGGCAGAATTTTTCCCTGGGATGCAACGTGGGCTGTAATCTCTGACATCCCGGGAATGGGCCAGGACGGAGCAGTGTTTTGTGGTTTGTTTTGTCGTGAATCACCTTGATTTGCTATCTTTACACGCAAATCCCTGTTTAGCAAAGCAACTGGTCTGGCGCAGCACTGCTGTGGACTGCTAAGGATTCTTTGTCCCTCTGAATGGAACTGGGCCGGTTTCAAAAGTTGGCCTCCTGCATCTGGGGGGCCACACACTTGCAGAGCACTCAGCACCACCACCTTAGGGCAGTGGTCCAGCTCACCATAATGACGTCACCAGGTTAGAGCCCAGAGTGCACAGGACCAGGACCCCCGGGGCACTGAGCCTGACTCAGGCTGGCCTTTTCAACCGCCAAGACCAAGGTTATACTTCTCCCCTACCTCTTGGGTTCCAGTCCAGCCCCCTTTGCAAATGGGGTGCCAGGGAGGGTCAGGCACTTTCAGGAGCCCAGTGAGCAGGCAACACTTCTCTGGAGCACGGAGACACACACCTAAGGTTTTTAATCTAAAAGCAGCTCAACGCGCTGCCAGAGGAGTGAGTTATTTGACATCTGTTTGGCATTTTTACAGTGCCCTGAAAGTCACAAAGAACAGGCCAAAGAGGACAGATACTAGAGCTGTGGCTCTCAAAGCGTAAGCCCAAGACCAGCAGCAGCATCACCTGGAAACTCGTTACATGTGCCAGCTCTCAGGCCCTGTCCCAGGCCTCCAGTATCAGACTCTGGGGGTGGGACCCAGCACTCAGGGTTTGCGAGCTCTCCAGGGGATCCAGATGCCCACTCAGGTTCGAGAACTGCCTTTCTACAGCATAGGTGGAGACCGTACACTTGGGGGGGATGGGCAGCTGTTGTATTTGACGCGTCACCCACAGGAGCACCAGCTTTATGGTATTGTGGCCACACCACGGAATAGCTGGCGGACGTGCTCTTTTTCCCAACTGAGTTGGCATCCTCATACAGCTGTGCATCTGGGTGACCAATGTGAAGGTCATGGTTTGATTCATCTCAGACAACTGCTTTGGTGCAATTTAGCCAAGCGGGCTCACGCACTTGGCAGAAATAATAGTAATAATAATAATAAATAATCATCCTTTTCCTTTAAGACGTGACCAACAGGAGCCTTGAGCCTCCTCAAATCTGAATCATGACCACTGCGGGGGGGGAGGGCAGGGGGTTGCAAATGAAGCAGAAGCTTCAGAGACCATCAAACCAGTGACCCTTTAGTGGCTTGCAGTTTTTGTCTGGGCTCGTTCCCAAATTTTGGCATTCATTTTGCAGTTGAAATTTCTTTCTTTTCTTTTCCTTTTTTTTGCTTGCAAATTAAAATCTCCAGTTCCCTAGACCACGGATTTATTTATTTATTTATTTATTTATTTATTTGTTGTTTGTGTGATAGTTCATTTTGGTAACCAGAACAATCAGTTGTTTTATTTTATTTTATTATTGATTGATTGATTGATTGATCAGTTGTTTTAAAGTACAACCACTGTACTCCAAGACTGCCCCTGGCCAAAGGACTCCCATGGGAATGGTTATTCCCCCAGAGCCCAGGGCGGCTGCAGTGAACTCTCCCATTGTTGAGAAATTTCTGGGCTGGCTGCTCACTTCACAGGAGACTGGCCATGGTCACAACCTGTGTCCCCTGGTGGGTCCCCACCAGGCAGGGTGGGGAAGGAGGCACCATCATTCCCATGACTGCAACCAGGAAGATGCCAAGGGCCATTTGGTCAGTCCAGAAGATAATCAGGGGATCGCACTACTGCGCCTTCTCTTCCAGGAATCAAATCAAACCTGAGCTCTCTGCTGAGCCCCAAGGGAGAGAGGCAGGAGGGCCATGGCCAGCTGGGATGACGGAGGTTAAGCCTGTGGCAGCAACAACCTTGACATTTAATCACATGCTTGCCACGTCTCATTAGTGACTGTATTCACCCTGTACTTATAAATTATACAAAATAAGGATTACCTTAAAATATTCCATCAGTGATCTGGAGTACTTCATAGCATGGTCCTTCTTCAGCTTGAACATCCGCAAGTAGAGAAGTGATAAACATCTGTAGCTGTGGTGAGGAGGAAAGGATTATGTTAATGTTGGTGCTTCATGAAAGCTACGTACTGGCAACGAAATGCTGATTCACAGTTCACGCTCACTCCCCTACGGTTACTGAGGAACAGAAGTGAAAAAAGAAAAATGTTTCAAAGAGAAGAGGTAAGCATTAAAATCCCATCTTGGTAAGGGTATAAATTAGGAGAGTAAATGTTTAGTCAGCGACTGAAGAAATCCATTAGTTATCCTTTAATAGTTTAATGGAAAACAAGAATAATGATCTGGGGTAAGCAGCTTAAGTCGATCTGGAGTTTCCAAATCCTTCTGTGACATTTCAGCTGCCTCTTTGCAGCCTTCATGAGACTTACCATAATACCGCCAGCTTTTTGTCCCCGTCTGAAGCCAAGGGGCTCGCAAAGTTCTTCAGTCTCATCGCGTACCTTTGAAGAGAAAGGACAAGCTCAAGTGCCATCTGCATGACCCCTCAGAAAAGTCCAGAAGTCATTGCTATTCCCACCGCCTGAATGCCTTAGTGCCACATTTGCTCTGGGTGGGAGGCCAAAGTAGGGCGCGTGGGCAGGTGCGTATCATGCTAAGTGAAATAAGTCAGTTAGAGGAAGACAAATACCACATGATTTCACTCATATGTGGAATTTAAGAAACAAAACAAACAAGCGGAGGGAGAAAAAAAGGAGACAAATTAAGAAACAGACTCTTAACTCTAGAGAACAAACTGATGGTGACCAGAGTGGGGGAGGGGCGGGGGGAACAGGTAAGGGGGATTAAGGAGGGCATGTGTAGTGATGAGCACCAGGTGATGCATGGAAGTGCCGAATCACTATATTGTACACCTGATAGAACACTGTATGTTCACTAAGTGGAATTTAAATAAAAACTAAAAAAAAAAAAAAAAAAATAGAAAAAAACATTCTGGCAAAAGACCGTCCCTAGGACCACTCTAGCTAACCAGCATGACTGGTTTGCAATGAGAGGCGGCCACAGCAAAGTCTCAGTCAAGTTTATGACAGACGAGGTAAATAATACACGACTGTGTCTGACATGGGCGTGGGGAGCCCACAATCACACAGTTAAAAAGGTCTTTTCTAATGGCTCAGGTTTTGAAGATATTCCTATAGAAAGTGGTTTTGTTTTTTTAAGAGGAAGGTCAATTTCACAGCATTTGAAGGTCTAAGAGCCCTTAATTTATGGTGCTTGTATATTTTGTCTTTCCATTCTCTTTAATTGTTACTGTTCCACACTGGGGTGATCAAAGGTTGAGCAGTTCTCATTTTTTTCTTCTAGCTGAGCACATCCCATTCGGGGCATTTAGACTCTTGAAAATCAATTCACTGCATAAAATCATTGTCTGAGCTTTAATGCAATTTCACAGGTACCTGTGGAGGAATAAGTAATGGAGTTCAGCGTTGCAGAAGGAAGTTGGAAGTGTGCAGGCAGCCTAGGTTCATTCTCATTTACGAGAAGGTGATGGGGAGCCTGCACAATGGACTCCCCATCTTCAACAGCCTCCCCAGAACACCGGTGTCCCAGGGCTTGCCCCTCAAGACCAGGGACCCCTTCTCCTGGTTACGGTTCCACTTCTGTTGAGGGAACGTTTTCCAGCAAAAGGACCTGTGCACTTGGTGTGGGTCCCTTCTGTTGTGGCCATATTAAGTAAAAGGATTTTTATTATGTAATAAATCAAACTGTCTTTGACAGTTGGATCGCTGAAATGTCAAGTCATCGTGATGCCCCACTTGTTTGCACAAATACATTTCTACTGCAGATTCCCAGGGCTCAGAGCCACTATAATGACTTGAAGGAAGAAAACTGCGCTATCTCTGTGGCCAGCATACTGTCAGAGAGTAATAGAAATCTCTCCACCACCATATGATGCCACTAAAAACTATGTTCACATTACAGTCACCCTCTAATTGCAACTTTTGAAGTGAGTGGATTGTGGAACTTCAGTTGCTTCAATGGACCAGAAGACCTAGTTACTTTAGCCCATTTTATTCCCAACTGAAATTTTCTCAAAAAGAAATTATACTCACACAGGCCTTACAGAAAATGCAAGAAATGTACATAGAGAGAGAGGGCAAAGGGGTGCATGTAAAACACTGAATAAAGTCCATGGATTTTATCAATGTCACTGTCCTGTTTGTGATACTGTTGGGGGAAACTGGGTGCGGGGCCACAGGAGCTTTCCCGATCATTTCTTACAACCGCACGGGAATCGACAATTAACTCAAGATAAAGTTTCAAACTATTGACTCTAAAGTGAATGTCCATACATTCTCCACTGTAAATAATTATGGAAAAAGAAGTGTTTTTTAATGGGAATAAATGTTACTCAAAGTCTCACATTGCATTTTTATCAGAAACGAAATATGATGCTCTGCTTTTGTATCTTTAAGAGAGCATGTATTTTCCTAAAAGAAAACGAAGAAGAAAGAAAAATACAGAGAGATGGGAAACACCCATCATTTCACCCTACTGCAGCTCTGATCTCATTTCCCTTCCAGCTTGGTCCACAGGCAGAAACATGCTTTTCATGGTCAGAGATGTAGTGTGTATATAATTCTGCAGCTACATAGTCTCCATCATTGCTGCAATTCACTGGCTGCAAAGAATTCTGTTGAGTGTACTACAGTGTAATTACTTACTCTTCTATGATTCATTATTTGGTTTGCTTCTAATTGTGTGCTATAATATATGCCAAACTGAACACCATACAGATAACTCGCTCTCCTCTTACAATTATTTTCTTCAGTACAGGAAATTCACATTTCCCGAAGTTGAATTGCTGGCTGAAAAGATATGAATGCTCATTTGTAAAGGTTTTCCTCCACAATGCCAAATTGCCCTCAATTTACAATGATCATTGTGTGTGTGTGTGTGTGTGTGTGTGTGTGTTAACACTAGGTATTAGCATTTTTCTATTTTCTTATTAATTTAAGAAGTGCCTTTTTTTTTTAAAGTTTCTAATGTTTGGATAGATAGAGAACATGAATTTTCTCTGTGTTTGTTCACTAATGCTGCCCCTCGATTTTTAATTTTTGCCAGAATTTTCATCTCGTGCATCTTTGAAAATCACTGGCAGCCTCAAATCCACTGAGAAATCAATTTCCCATTAAAAGCTAGAGAATGGCGGTGGTGGCTTTCACAGATCATAAAGTAAGTCTGAGAGATAGATACCTTACATGCTATTTTTGTGGCTTTAACTTCCTCTTCTGATTCTATGCAAGCAGAGTTTTTTTTTTTTCTCTTTATAAGACTTCGCATTCTTTTGATATTTTGGAAGACTCTGCTGGGAAAATACGCATGCTAAATGTGTCCGATGTTTGTCTGAAGGTTTAATTACAAGGGCCTCGGATTTGTAACATTTTATGCAGACACAGGCAACATACATAGTAAAAACTATTATTATTATTATCAATTTATCCAGCCAGAGGTGATCTGGATAGAAAGAACCTATCAGGTGAGGAACTGCTCACTAAAACAAAAGCAATTTAGTGCATCCAGCAGATGATGGTGCTTTTCCACTCTTAAGAAGTGGATTCAATTATTTTACAAATATCTGCACGTTACTGGAAAATACAACAGTGGGCATTTCTTCTCTTTCCCCTTCTTCCAGGAATTTCTCTGATTACTCACAAATTCTACTCCACCAAGACCAACGGCAGGCCAGGAAATTTCATTTCAAATGCAGATGTGACCGATAATCTGTGCAGTTAATATACTGGTCTCCTATTCTCATCCTCTGAGCTCTACCCCTCCCCCTCCTACCACCTTGTCTATTTCCCTGAAATTACAGACACAGGGGAAGTTCACCGCACACCTGCGGCCCTCAACGGCCAACTTTGTGTTGGAACAGAGGCCCCTCCTTTTTAATAACCAAGGCAGAAATTCTGAGAAAACATGGTTCATAACAGAAATCCCGATAGTGCCACCTTCCCTGAATTATAAAACTGCACTTTGAAAAGGCAAGTGTCAATGCCACATGGTGAAATTATTATACTTTACTTCCACCCACTACGTTTCCATTTTAATTTTATGAATATTGCAAATTAGAACACTCACATTGTAACATCTGAAGGGGATAATTCATAAAAGCGGTGTCCATCAATTATAAATTTTCCATGACATTAATAAAATGGCAAGAACTAATTATGATGACTTCTAAGAAGAAGATGCGTAGGACAAACCATTAGGAGGAGGAAATGATATTTTTAAAAAACATAGCTTCTAATTACGACTGAAATGAGCTTAGGAAGATGGCTGCAGAAAGGCCATTAACCTGAGGAGCTCCACAGTCTCGGAGTACATGGTATACGGAGACTTGGCTTCCAGAGGGTCGCGTTCCATTGCATTGCCACATTCGGTGAAGGACAGGGCTGCATCGGCATAATTCACGGCTTTGCCAAATTTCTCGAACTGAAACAGGAAGATGACTTGTCACCACGATATTGCCTCTTTTCTCCCTCATATAAAGGGGTGGGTCTCAATCCCGGGGCCTTTTTGCACCCCTCCCCCAGGGACGTTGGGCAACGACTGGAGATATTGGGGGTCGTCGGCACGAGGGACGAGTTGGCAGAGGCCAGAGATGTTGCTAAACACCCCACAATGCACAGGACAACCCCCCAGCAGTGAGAAATACCCAGCCCAAGATGCCAAGAGTGCCGAGGTTGAGAAACCCCGATGGAGAAGGGGGGTCAGTGAGTGAATTCGTATCGACAGTGACATAGCTGATTTAAGGTTCTATTGTCATGACCCCGAGGCTGGTAGAGAAGAGAAGAATGCAGCCAAGGTATCGTGTGTGCTGGTGGTACGATCATGTATTTGTGCTCCTGTTGCTGGTGTGATTATTTTTGGGGGGATCAGAATGCAAATCACGCCTTGACTAGTTTCTATTCGCTGAATTGACTAGACTGGGCATTGTAGTGTCCTATGGACAGAGCTGGTGGTGGAACTCTGCTTTTCATAAGCCTCATGGACAACTTCCATCTACAGTCTTTGTGAGCACATCAGCCCCACCCCCAGGGGAAGAGTAAAAAATGGATGCTATTGTCATGAAAAATGTGAAGCTTCCATGTGACTGTTGACAATAATCACATCACTTTCACTGTAAATGATGGTCTGCAATAGTGTGTCAAAAAGCCAAAAAATATAGCACTACTAAATATTTTAGTTTAGTAAAATTTTATTGCAAAAGGTTTTAGCCCTGATAATGGTCATGATTGAACTGACTTAGACATACTGATTTCTTTTTTATGTGTAATGAATATTATATATGACACTTTTATAGTGAGTATTTTATAACAGTATTTAATGTTTTCAATTTTTGATAGCTGGATGTAAGAATTTCACTAATACAGGATTTTATGTAAAAAGAACCAATATAATGCAGATTTAGCTATTTTAATTTTCTTGTATACCTTTTATCAAAATATTTTCTTGCAACGGTGAAGGTTTCAATTCTCAAAATGGCAGAGTAGCTGTCTCTAGCAAAGGATTAAGTACAACTATAAAATGATGAGTTACAGGTCCTACAGAACCGCTATTGTAAATGACTCTCTTTATAATAAATGTTCTGCAGCTTTTATATACTGCAGGAATTCTGCAGCGTCCTTACTGTAAGCTGTTGTGGAAGAATATTGGTCTGAACCAAATTCAAAGCGATTTTATGAAAACCTATGTGTGTGTATGCAAACTATCTCCTTCTTCTCATGCCTCACCCGATTATTTCCTTAGGTAATCTGGCTCTGACTGACTCTCTTGTGGGGAAATTAATCTTTACATCCCGATTTTTCAAAGTGATTTTTCATTCACAAACCCATAGCTGGAAGGCTTCTTAAAGATCTCCTAGACCAAACCTCTCCTTTTCCAAAAGGAGAAACTGAAGTCCAGAGAGACGAATACGTGGCCATAGTGCCAACTGGTGGCCAGGTCATACCCTGCTCCCGGGCCTCAGTTTTCCCATCCATAAAACAAGGGGCTCGAACTACAGGGGGCCTTCTGGCCTCTAAATGAGTGTTTCTCAACCTTTGTTTCCATCATCACCACCTCCCCCCGGGGCCCCCGTGGGAGTTATTTGAGAGATTTTTTTCACACACATCCACTGAAATATAAAGACCAAAAACATACTCAACATCTCTTCATGTCTTGTGGCCTGGAAGGTCACGCACCATTGCAATGTCTGACTTTTTTACTTTAGCCCCCCAAACTGGTTTTTGCCCCCATGGGGGGGATGGAATATCCCCAAATGAAAATGCATTTTCTAAATGGCTTAGACCAAAAGTGATTTGGCGGGGGGTACACATAAACACGACCCTGGAAGGTAGAGAGTGATGCTGGGTCTTAATCCTATGCGTGTATCTCTGTGGCTCTGATTTTTCTCAGTTCTTCCGAACCTCTCCTACACGGTCTCACGTGCGTGCCCCACTCCATGAGCCCGTGGACCAGCCTGTCAAGGGAGCGTTTGTGTGCTCCCTTGCCCCGATTTTGAAGGGTCAACTCCAGAGCCCTTCTGTGGTGCTGCAGAGTTGAGGACATGCAGAGCAAACCACTGGTCTTCAAGCCAGCAGCACTGCCTTCCAAATCTCTGGCTGCCCATACGATGGTCATGGGCATAGTCTCCCTAGTGTCTCCAGCGGAGCAGGCACCCAGCCTGCCTTGTCATTTCTGTCTGCAGGAGCAGGGGACAATAGCTTTCCGAAGGACAGCTCCCACCACAGAAAGGTTAGCCGTAGACAATACCTGATACCTGAGCAATGTGGATCGCGGTGGGAAAAGGACAGAAAGTAGGGAAGCAGCAGATGCAGGCATAAGTCACAAGTCACAGTGCAGGGGCTGTCGAGGTACGCTAGCACAGCCCTGCTGGTGTCCAACACCGCGGGCCAGCTAAGTCCCGGATGGACACACTGCTGTGATGGAGGATACTGGTTGTTGTTGTTTTTTAACGTAACGGAGTTGAACGGATACCTCTAAATGTGCTGGGGTTCCGTCAAAGGTGAGGACCCTGAATTGAGGCACTGCCCGTCTCTGGGGGTAGTGAAGAGCATTATAAATACCCATGCCTGGGTCCCCGTCTCAGAAATTCTGATTCCGTCTGTCTGGGGTGAGGCTTAGGCATCGGGTTCGTTTTAAAGCTCCCCGAGTAGTTGTGACATGTGGTTGAGACCCCCCCGTTAGGAGGAGCAATCAGGACAACTCAACATGCTGAGGTCATCATTGGTCTAGGTGGCCAAGACCCTTGGAGGCAGCGGGGCGGTGCATCCTTGGAACTCCGGATGACAGAACTTCCTCTGTGGGCCTCACTCAGAAACATGTAATCAACGCAGCACGGAGCTGCGTTTTTTCTACACACCTGAGTTTCCCCAAGCCATTTTTTGAGTCCACCTGACCAGCTCTCAACAACCTTCTCTCTGCCCACACCAGTCCTGATTGACTGGAAACAATGGGAGTTCCCACTTTCTCCAGGGCAGTTTCGAGAGTCATCTCAAATTCACTCGAAAGCCATCAACAGTATATGGCATTTAAGTTCGGGCAAGGGGAAGTTCGGGCAAGGGGAAGAAGAGTGAGGACATGAATAAGGGCAGGGCAACACGCTGCCAAGAACTTGGGAATTCTGGTGTAAGGAATGAGCCAGCCCCAATCTGCCTATAGCGGAGCAAAGAGGAAGTTGGACTCATTTGTAAAGTGACTTCTTTGTTTCCCTTCAAAGCATGATACCTTAATGGGAGGAAAGCAATGAGAGGGAAAAACCTACCAGTGCATCAGCTTTGTGCTTCAGCTTCTTAGCCTCTTGCATGTAATAATCAGCATTGTGAACCCTAAAGAAATAAAACAGGCTCTTTCAGCAACCAAAGGTTCATCTTTTCCCTGAAAGACTGAAGAGCCACAAACGGTTTTGCTATAAATCCATTCCAATGCAATGCCCTTGAAAGGGCAGGTGGGGAATGCTCTCGTTCATAGAAGAGCCAACCTTGCAGTAAGCCCGAAGTGTAATGTGAAGTGCGTAATGGCCCACTGGGATCAATAACGGTCCCCTCCAACCCAGCCATTCCACTGTCCAAACATCCCGTGGACCCCAACGAACCTAGCTGCTTCTGGCACACTGTTCAATCTGAGGACACAGATAAGAAAGGGGGCCAAAGCAACCTAGAATTAAGCACTTGTCTTTGGAAATGGTACCAGAGCTCCATGATAAAAATGGGCCAAAGACATTTCTCGGTGGGGACAAGGGGGTGTGTGGGGAGGAGGGGCTGCCGCTGAGGTTTTACTTCGGGTAAAAAAAAAGAAAGCCATCCTGCCTGCACCCACCCCCATGCACCGCTCCCACACCGTGTCCGTGATGATCTGGGGACAACGTACGAGTCGTCAAAAGTGAGCTTGGGTCTCCGGACATTGGTGGTGCTGCTGGACAGAAGGGGCAGGGCTGCCCAGGACGCCATCTCCAGGTGACTGCTGTCCATGAGGCCAGTGGTGATGGTAGAGGTGATGGTGGAGATGGTTGTCGTCGTGGCTGTGGTAGTGGCTGTGGCCGTGGCAGTGGCGGTGGCCGTGGCAGTGGCGGTGGCAATAGCTGTGTTGGTAACCGTGACGGTGGCAGAGGGTGTCTTTTTTGGAGTGTCTCCACCCTGGGAAAAAGGACAAACAGCTGCCATAAGGTCCGGCCTCTTAGAACGTCTTTTCATATATACTTTGAATGTCAAGCACAGTAGGAAACAAGGCAAGAGAAAGAAAACAATGCACACAGCTTGAGAATAAACAGGTGACCCTGGTAGATCACCAGCTTTTGTTCTATGATGATACCGACCACCGAGCTAGTCAGGTGCTGTGATTACATAAGCCATTATCCCATCAAGACAGCCATTGGCAGATCTCGTAGGGGACGTGGGTGGGGAGAGGGGGAAGGGAGAGAAAGAGAGAGGAGGAAGGAGAACGAAGACAGAGCAAGGGTAAGTGTGAGGGTAGGGGACGGAGAGAAAGAAAGAGAGGTGACCCTGAAACAGCCCAGAAACTTCCACGAGGGTAAATAAGGTACTCCAGTCACTCTGCAAAATGCCATAATCCAGTGCAGCAAACCGGGCCTTAAACCCCGGGACCAAGGCTGAAGCTGCCCTTTGGTTCACTGAGGCCTTGACTGACGTCTGGCTAGGTGAACGTCACACGAGTGCCTCCTCATTTTGAAGTCTTGGGATGGTGGCAAGACTTGTACTTCTGTGACAGCGCGTGTCAGGAGACCACGGTAGACTCGGCCCTCCCCACCTGGCAACGATGGCATGATCCTGACTGTTCTATCTCCGACCCCGCTTGCCATGGGACCTCCTCCTACCTTCTGCTTGTCTGAGTTGGTATCTCTCTAAGGTTGGTATCTCCCAAGGTTCATTCCTCAGGTCTCTTCTTTCCTGACCTTGACAGGATTTGCCAATCCCGTATGCGTTGGTGCAGATTTGACAATATGTGGATCACTGCCAAAAGGAAACCTCAATCTTACCCTCTCTCTAAAGCTCCAGATGTGCGGTGATCACCTCTGGCTCATTATCACCAAGATGGCCCATTAGCCCCTCAAACTGCCCTGAAACCAAATTGATAACCAAACCAGTTCCCTCTTTCTGTTAATGACGGGATGGTCTTCCCTTGTCACCAAGGCTGGATTTCTCCATGGCAGGAAGGGCACTGTGGTCATCCCTGGGCTAGGAGCATTGGAACCAGTGTACTCCCCACTTTGCCTTCCATCTGAGCTGCTCTGCTTTAATCAGCTCTATATATTGAAGTGCTGCAAATTCCTTCATTTCAAAAAATGATAATGATCCTAAAACTCTTTTGAAAAGAGCTTCAAAATAAAGTGAATTTCACTGCCCTATTTCATCTTTAATTTCTTCCTCTCCATTACCCTTATCCAATCCATTACAAAGTCCTATTCATTGCATCTCCCCACCATTTCTCAAAGCTGTGCCTTCCTTGTCTGAAGCCTCCAAGTGCGGGCCCTCGTGGCTTCTGACCTAGACCATCAGCCTCCTGGCTGGACCCCTGACCTTGGAGCCAGCTTTTCCAATCCATTCCCAATCTGCTGCTGGCCTGCCAGAGCTTCTTACACAAAGCCCCATGCATTTTACTGCCTTGCATCCAAAGGCAAACTCAAGGCTGAGCTCCTTTGCTGGCCCGTGAGGTCCTCCCTGATCTGGCTTCATCTTTCCACTTGATCTCCTGCTACTCATTCCCACGGACCTTCCCCCAGACTGAACACATCCTGCCTTCTTCACTTTCTTGCTTTGGTTCGTGTGGAGTCTTAGAGTTGAAAGAACCTTCCCTTCATTACTTTTCCTTTTTCACCTTGCGATAATTTGCTCCACTTTTTAATTAAAAGAAAAAAATTTGGGGGGTGCCTGGGTGGCTCCGTCGTTAAGCGTCTGCCTTCGGCTCAGGTCACGATCCCACGGTCCTGGGATCGAGCCCTACATCGGGCTCCCTGCTCTGCGGGAAGCCTGCTTCTCCCTCTCCCACTCCCCCTGCTTGTGTTCCTTCTCTCGCTGTGTCTCTCGCTCTGTCAAATAAATAAATAAATAAATAATCTTTTTAAAAAATTGTGGTAAAATACATACGACTAGCTTCTTTCACTCAGCATCAAGTCCTCAAGGTTCATCCATGTTGTAGCACATGTCAGAATGTCCTTCCCTTTTAAGGCTGAAGAATATTCCATTGTATGGACAGATCACATTTTGTTTAACCACCTCCCTTCATTTCTAAACTGTCCTCACCTACTAAGGCCCAGCTCAACAAATGCCTTCTCCTCCAGGAAAACCACCTTGTATGTCCACAGCCAGAAGTACTTTAATCCTCCTTGGTCCCTTCAGAGATCTGAAGTCTGTCTCAATCCCTCTCTATGACACCAACCACCAGCCATTTTATATTGTAGTTCTTTGAGCACATGTCTCATTGCTTACCTTACAATGAGAGCTCTCAACCCTGGCACCATCTCTGATTTCTGACATCGCTACACCACCCCATGCCCCCACCCCACAGCCTCGTGCTCCCAGTAATTTGTTGACTGCATGCACTCCTACCTGCCTTAGTCAAAAGGGTCAGTTTAAAAATAGAAGTCAAATGTGAACATTTCTTATGTCCAAGCAAGTCTATCTTTTCCACTTGATCCTGGATCTTCTGATTATCAAAACTTCTTACCATCAAGAGCTCACTGAGAGAAATGTGGTGAGAGGCTATCCATCTAACAATTGTTATGATGGATAGGGAGAAAATGGTTGACAAATCATCATGGATTTTATTCCACCCAAACACATAAAAACATCGAAGCCTTCTAAAATTCCATGTTTCTACTGCCAAAGCCAGATGGCCCGGACAAAACAGTGGAGTCAGCCCAAGACGGTCCCACTCGTCCCTATGGTCAAGATATGTGACAAGGACCCCAAAGCACCTCATCCACTGCGCACATGGCACTGATGCATTCAGCCATGATCATGCAAGTTATATAAACATGTCCTCCGTCCGTGCTCAGCCGTCCATCGAATCAATAAACAAGACTTCACGCAAAAGTGGAATACAGAAGACTCTGAGAGCACAATATTGAAAACACTTTGGGAGCTGGAGGAAGCCTTATAGTTCATCCAGTCAAATCCACTCATTTTATGGACTCAGAGCGGTTTCGTAATTTGCCCAAGGCCACAGAAAACCTGTTGCAGTTTTAGCACTATGTACCAAGCCTCTTAACTCCCAGGCTAGGGCAAAAATGTACCCGTCTTCCAGCTTTCAAGCCATTTATGAAAAGAAGGGGCAATGGGTACTCAGTCATGGGAGCCTCCCATGGGAGACTCCAGTGAATTCCTTAAGGAGGGCAGTCCATTTCTAGGTGCAGATGGAACCATATTATCAGGTTTCCCTAGCAGCTTTTAGCTCTTGTAGAAATGACTTTGCAGATTCTTGTAAGCATCACCATTGTCATGATCACAACTGTATTAAGCACCTAATTCTTTGGGACAATACACCAGGCACTGTACAAAGAGAATCGCCTAGGTCTGGCATATGCCCTCCCAAAGCTCGCGATAGAAAAGAGAACCAGTTGGCGTTTACCATATTAATTACATTCAGTATGAAAAATGCGATTGATAGTATAATTACTGTTTAGAATAGATGGTTTAATTTCTAACAAGGTCAGCATTTTTAAATGTGAATGCAAATATTATGTAGGCACATGTGCGCACGCACACACACAATTTCATATGGAAAATGACTATTTTATAGTAGCACAATTTCTCTATACCAGCATTGAAATTTGCCTGGATATACGCGTGCCATGCCAGTCATCTCAGATGATGGAGGACTCTACGTTGGAGTCCTTCAAGCTCAGAGGCCTCATGGCTTTTCATGGAGTGGTAAATGGGCACGTTTGGTCCAGGGTCCACCAGGTTGGCATCAAGATATTTGAAAGCTCATTGATTTTCCCGTATTCGCTTTTTTACATTACACTTAAAGGAGACTAGATGCATACGGATGCTACATCTGCATATACATGCATTTACATGGAAAAGCAGATGCACTTGTCATTAATATTCACCGGTGACACTTTGCTTGTGGCTTCTGCGCTTCAGGTACCTACACCTGAAACAGATGGAAAGACTGCGCGGATGTGAAAAGTGATACAAAGTCTCAATTTTCTATGCTAATGGAGCAGCGGTGCTGAAAATCCAAAGGGCTGAATGATCCTTTAGTTGCGCTTAGAACCACAATTGTATGATTTTTAGCAACAGATTCACCTTTTAAGTTCCATCCTTTTGAGTCACTATTTTAAACACAATTCACACCTGCTAAGCTGGGTGGTGGGAAGATGCAACTGGGAGTTGCAGCTCCAGTCCAGTGACTTTGAGCAATCCCACCCCATCCATTGGTTCTTTCATTCACTAAACGATGAGTGCCTACACCACGTGCTCAATCAGTATTTTGTGTGTCCCCACCGCCGAGATATGAAAGTATTGGACCAAAGGATGTCCAAAGCCCCGAGTCTCCGCATAATAATCTGTTGGGAGAAGTAAGACTGGAATGAAAAATTCATCCTACATTAGAACAACTGAGGTTTGAAATAATGGAGAGTTTGCATATTTCTGTACACTGTTCTCTCTGCTTCTTCCTCCCATCCCCCTGCAATCACACCTGGTCAGATAAGCTGAGTCAACCTGTTTATACCTGATGATTACAATATTTCTTCTGAGATGCTTACATTTACGGATATCCCTTTGAAAGTAGCACAGAATTTGCCTTCACTCCTCTTGGGTTTGGTAGAGGCGATCTGTCCGATCATAGGGATGTTTTTGTCTTGACCAAAGGGGCCATTGCTGCCACTGATGTTTCTGCGGCGTGGAGGGTCCTCCGGCAGTGGGGAAAGTGGAGGAGGGAACAGCTTTTCTTCTTTCCTTCTATTTGCTCTCCTGGATGAACTGTTTCTGTGTAAACAAAAAGCATAGGGTGTCACAAAATTTTGTCTCTCTCTCATGATTTTTCCCATGATGCGGGTACTTTCAACTTAAGTACTATTTTAGTTGATGGCCCTCTAGCTATGGTAAAGAGTATATATAAAAATGCATGTAGACATAGATATCTATAGAGAGATAGAGCTATAAATAAATGCAAATATATGTATCCAAGAATAAACACATGTCTTTGAAGCAGAACTCCATGGTAAATGTAACTGTCTAATGGAGGGTGCCACAGTGTGATATTTGCAACCTTTCGAGATTCCTCTTAATTAGATTTTTATGGAAAATCCAATGCAGACTTTAATCCCGTCATTTTTTAGGATGGTTCTTACTTATTTTGCCCTAGGACTTAACTGAATAATCACACAATAAATGGTACAATAAACAATTAGCAGAGGGATATTTTCTTAAGAAATAGTATGCTTGTACATTACTTAGCTATCAATAACACACTAAATACTTTTGTGACACATCGCGAGCCGTACGTCCAACATGTTCTAGGCCCGCGCCAAGGCATAAGAAGCCCCTGACCTTACGCTGTTATACTGGAGTACTGATGTGCTCCTCTTTAGGGAACCCATTTGAAAACTATTTTGTCATATTGCCACAAGACATCTGTAGTCCTAGAAGTACTCCCGTGCTTTCAGACTGATTTATCTGCCCATTAAATGGGCACCATCAAAGAGACAGAGACTTCGGATAAAACAGAACAACTAAAACCTTATGCTAGCTGCTTAACATGGTAATTGGGTCATGGATTTTCATTTTAGTTACTGTCTTAGCCTAATCAATGAAGATTACTTGATTTTTAATCTTTTCTTAGACAACTAATATTGCACTGTGCAGCCATTTACTTTCCATGATTATTGACTACAATTTTCAATAGCAAATTAAGTCAACAAGAATTTATGTTTTCCTCTTGGTCAATTTTAGTCAGTGTCTAGCAATATAGATTTACAATTTCTCAAGGCAACAAATCAAAGATGAACAAGCATTCAAGTGGTCTGATTTCCTGAGATGGTAGAAGTCAATGCAATCTCCTTGTTCCCTTCCATTGGGTTGCCCAAATTTGCCAACTGTAATAGTATTTGCCATCTTCTCTATCTTTTCATAAATGTGGCTCTATGTCAAGTTTTGTCAAGCAGTGAAATATTTAAGAACAGTAACTGTTTCTGCCATTACCTTAGTTATGATTAATCAAAAAATATTTGCCAATGGATTTTAAAAATTGCTTTGATACATAGAACCACTTTAAGATAACTGTGATACTCAATTAAAGAATGGCGAACATCTGGATTAAGACTCATGCCCATGAGGAAGCTCCACAAACATCAGCCCCCACTAAGTATGACCATTACGGAGACATCGGACTTCTGGGAATTTGTATAGAGGGATGTCAAGCATTGCTGGGGCGTTTATGGGAGGTGAATGGTTCATTAGCTACAGCCACTCCTCCACTACTTGAGCTGCATCTGATTTGCCACTGGCCACAACAGTCGTGCTTGGCCTTCCCATCTGCCACTGTACACAGAACACTGCACACAGTCCAGCACATTCTGTGCAGTGGGCACTGGTCACCTGGGCCCCTTTCCATCTGTTTGGTAGTGAGCTGGAACCATGGCGCCTTTAATAACTTCCTTGGTGAAGGATACTCAGGGAGCAATTTTCTAGAGATCACTCTATCACTGTTATGGCTTATTACGAGAACAGGTTTTGCCACTTTGGGCACCTCTCGTAGGCCGAGGGGGACAGCAGACAAGAAGTGTGTCACTACCACCACCCAATGCATCAGAAGCCCTGCTGATGGTTCAAGCTCCCAAGGAGGTGTGGGGGGGAGGGGTGGTCCTCAGCGGGACCCTCCTGTTGGATGACGGGGAACTGCAGCAGTCATAGTCTGGCGTGGCATTCTTTGCTGGGTTTAGAACATTCATTTAGAAAAGTGAATGTCTCATACAAATTTCCAGGGATTTGGTTTGGAGGGTCAACAAGGCACAAAGGAGCAGACAGAACTTGAGAAGATGGTTCCCAGGAGAAGAGCCCTGAGAGGCCAATCCTCCCTTCCTTCTCTCTCTCTCTCTCTCTCTCTCTCTCTCTCACTCTCGGCTCCGGAGACTTTTCCACAGACCTGGGTTTGTTTGATGAGCCTAAGAATCTGCTCCAGGCCCTTCCTGAATGATAAACGCTACTAGGTAAACACTGCGTTCCTAACGACTACAAAAGCAGAAAGACTGTAAAGACCATGAGTTAGCAACACCATTTCATGAAGAACAAACTCAAAATTATCAGACGTTTATTTAAGACTTGGTCGTGTCTCTTCCACGAGATGGGAGAAGTGGCGGGTCGCTGGGCTGCTTAGGGAGGCTAGCATCAGAGGCTGATGGTTGCGACAATGCCTCCTGCCCTTTCCTGGTGCCTTCGGGTGGCCTGAATAGGTCACAGCCTGGGAACTGGGGAGCTCTGGCCACCACAGCCATGCCATTTCAGTCTGTCCTCCAGGGAAGGAGGAGGGCCATGGAAGGACCATGCTTGATCACCGGGGGAAGGAGCATGCTTCCCCACAGGCCTGGCTCACTCAGGGGTAAAGAGGTCAGCTTGCCCCATTGGAAGGGTCGCTAGTCCTGAGAACTCCAAGTATGCCAAGGGATGTTTCAGAGCGAAGTTATACCAGACGCACCGTATAAAGAGCCACGGATCCTCAGGGAGAAGGGCAGCTCGGGGCCCCAATCTCCTTATTATACCAAGTGGATATAGTGGTACTTGGTCTTTTCCTACCTTTCATCTCAAAACAATAAGGACCTCAACAACTGTAAGCTGAAAACTTATTTCCGACATCTTATCTGTGGCAGATTGATACCGTATCACTGATGTGAAACAGTAATCTGTGAAGTCAATTGTTAGCAGCATTTAGCCAGATTGCCTCTCTGCTCTGGGCTGCTAATAGGCTCCCAAACTGGTCTTTGATGGAAGGAATCTCTAATGTTGAATGAATTTATGGCAATAATTATCTAGACGGAATGGTTCCAGTAGCTGACGTGACCGTTAGTTAAGTGGTATTTCTAAGATGCAAGAACTTGGTCACAACCCTTGGTAGCAACAGAGCCCAGGACTTCTCCAGGGAAGGCTGGGGCCATCTGAGTGAGGAGGTCTCCCGCCTGACTCTGGCACTTTATGCAAAGAGGTGCCAGCTGGTTGGAACTAACAGATGGGTCCCCAGCCAGCTTTCCCTGACACACAATGGCCCCGGGGGAGGGCAGCTCCCAGATGTCCCCTCTCTCCGGCCTCCTCAAACATGTCACTCCCCTGGCTTCTCAGGAGGTCAGGATGGACCTACTAGTCCTCAGGCTCTGTATTCAGGTTACGGAATGGCACCAAAGAGGGAGCAGCAGCTGGGTCATCGTGCAAAGCCTGCTTTCATCACCATCGAGACTGGAAGTTGCCCAGAAGCAGGTGATCTGGGTGCTGTCCCATTTTAATTCCTTCACTCCTTTGACTCTTCCCTTGGTGCTAAAAGGTCACTTTGGCCGAGTTTGGTCCTCCACGTGAGGTGGAGTAAAGAAAGATTGCTATAAAGCTCATGGAGTCATGCAAAATCTGGCAGCCTGCATTCCGGCCTTTATCCCACCCTTGTTAGACCAGCTGTCAGGACTGGCTGAGCAACTTCTGTTTCCTGACCTTCCATTCCTCTGAAACAGGACCCCCCCCCCCCCC